AGCAAACAACAGAGGACTCAGTGTGGAAGAGATTGGGGAAAACCAGCTGGTTCTTCCTGTACCATCACTTTGATGATACCTGAGGACAGTGGAGTTTACTGGTGTGAGTCCAGAGAGGGTCCCATCAGTAACATGGTTAACCTGACAGTCACTGGTAAGCTGAGTGTGTGGAGTTAGTGTTGATGAAGCTGTGTGTAAATGGATGAAATGCTGTAGTTTGTCTCTGTGTTGAGGTGGATCAGTGATCCTGCAGAGTCCTGTCCTCCCTGTGATGGAGGGAGATGACGTCACTCTGCTCTGTAAAAAAAAGAACTCCTCCAACCTCCCAGCTGCTTTCTATAAAGATGGCTCCCTCATCAGGAAGCAGCCTACAGGTCACATGACCATCCAGCATGTTTCCAGGTCTGATGAAGGCCTCTACAAGTGTAACATCAGCGGTCATGGAGAGTCTCCATCCAGCTGGATCACTGTCACAGGTGACACACTCACCTGTCTGTGTTTCTGCAGCTTTCAACATTCACAATAAACTAATAATTATATGTTGTATGTTTAAGGGAAATCTACAACCACATCTCCATCTACTCCCACACCTGTATATACATCCACCTCTTTCCCTACATCAGCTACTCGCCCTAGTTCTTCTGTTCTTCTTCCTGTGTTAATCTCTGTTGGGTCAGTCTGTGTTGTGGTTCTACTGGTGTTACTGGTTCTGCTGGTGAGAAAAAATCATCACAGAAAACCTAAAGGTGAGTCTCAGACTTCCTGATCTTTCATGTGTGGACTTTGATTTGTTGAACAATTTAAACATTATTATGATTTCAGTGTTTATTTTATCTGTCTGTGACAAAAACATTTACATTCATACGATAAATTATATTACTGTTACATTTCAGCAGATCAAGACAAAGCTGCAGGAGAAGACGTCACATACAGTGACGTCAAAATATCCCATGATCGACAGCAGCCTGTGAAACACAGCAGAGGTAATGTTCGGGGAAATTTTGGCGGGAGATGGTGTCAGAAAGCTGTATGTTTACGATAAGGGAGATGTGCCAGTTTTATCCCATTACAGCATTTCCAAATATATAAAGCAAATCTTTGAAAAGCATGTAGAGTTCACTTCATGTGACAGGAAAAGTCGCCTCAGGTAAAGACCTTCAGTAACAGATGATTCTGTACAGGAGAATACGGAACACCGTTCAGTAACATGGAGAAACAGCTGAAATAGGAAACAAATGACTTGTTACTTTTGTAAAGATTTACATGAGTGCACTTATCATTTTTCTTGGCATCCTGTGTCCATGTAGCTTATTTGATAGACTGTATACCAAAGATGGACAAGGCTCTATGACATCATCCACCAGTTTCTGAAAGTCTGCAGCATTTTCAAGCCTTAACCCTTTAAAGCC